TCTATCTATCTATCTATCTATCTATCTATCTATCTATCTATCTATCTATCTATCTATCTATCTATCATCTATTTATCTATCTATCTTTCTATTTATCTATCTCTCCATTTATCATCTCTCTCTCTTTCTCCTTTTCTTTCTTTTCTCTTTCTCTCTGTTTCTATCTATCTATCTCCCTCTCTTTCTCTCTTTTTCTCCTTCTTTCCCTCTTTCCCTTTATCTCCCTCTCCCTTTTTCCCTCTCTTTATTCTCTCCCTCTCTCTCTCTCTCTCTCTCTCTCTCTCTCTCTCCTCGCTCTCTCTATTTGCTGTCTCTCCTTGCTCTCTCTACTGACTCTCTCTCTCTCTCTCTCTCTCTCTCTCTCTCTCTTTCTATCTATCTCCCCTTTTCTCTCTTAGCACGCTAAAAGTTTTACAATATGTACAATACAATCTGTCAGATTACACTCACACACATATATATTTATTTATTTTCTCCCCCTTTTATAGCTCTTTATTTACATCTCACACACACACCCCATAAATTAAAAAAAATGAATAAATAAATTCCCCAGATCCCTTGTATGTTAATGATACCATTTGCATAGCCATGCCATGCAATAGCGTGCCTTTATTAATACAATCAGCGCCCGGCACAATTCATCATTTATTTACAACCCTAAAAATATACGATTTTGTAATTCTATTTGCATGAAGTGACATCGCTGGAGATAGAAAACGCAGAGTGTCCCCCTCCCTTCTCCAAGTGACTCCTGGGCTGTACAATATAAAGCAATCTAAGAAGTAATGAAGCGCTATATCATGTGTATTGCAGGCTTGGCATGGCTATGATGCCGGGCGTGTTGAAATAACATGTATGGCAAAACTTTAATTAACAAAGGTAGAAGATATATTTTATTTAGCTTTGCTTTGTTATAAATTCAATTTACCGAACTGCAGAATGGGATTTGCTTCATGCAAATTATTTACAGGCTCCATTGCCTTTGAAACATTAGTCACATATTAAATTTACTCAACAATACCATAAAGGCACAGTGAAGGCAAAGTGTTAGGTTTGGAGAGATAAGGCAGCAAGTCCTGGCTCAAGCAAGTCAACGCAGAAGGTTTATTTGACATGTTGACTTGATCTTTTGCGCCGTCTAGCGGAAATGTGGGGGAACTGCATCCTATCAATAAAACGAGATAGAAGTAAACGCTCGCAACAAAATATTATAATTATATCCCATGCAAAATATATTTAAATACTCATTCAACGTTTCTTTATAATTAGATTTTAGGTCTTCATAAATTGCTAGTTAATTACCATATTTTGTTTCCTAAGCACTGTTCAACGACAACTAGATTTTGATGGATTTA